GGTGTTACATTGAGGCATAATCTGTATGCGGTAGGTGTTACATTGAGGCATAATCTGTATGCGGTAGGTGTTACATTGAGGCATGATCTGCATACGGTAGGTGTTACATTGAGGCATGATCTGTATGCGGTAGGTGTTACATTGAGGCATGATCTGTATGCGGTAGGTGTTACATTGAGGCATGATCTGCATGCGGTAGGTGTTACATTGAGGCATAATCTGTATGCGGTAGGTGTTACATTGAGGCATAATCTGTATGCGGTAGGTGTTACATTGAGGCATAATCTGTATGCGGTAGGTGTTACATTGAGGCATGATCTACGTGCGGTAGGTGTTACATTGAGGCATGATTTGTATGCGGTAGGTGTTACATTGAGGCATGATCTGTATGCGGTAGGTGTTACATTGAGGCATGATCTGCATACGGTAGGTGTTACATTGAGGCATGATCTACTTGCGGTAGGTGTTACATTGAGGATAATCTGTATGCGGTAGGTGTTATATTGAGGCATGATCTGCATACGGTAGGTGTTACATTGAGGCATGATCTACTTGCGGTAGGTGTTACATTGAGACATGATCTGATCAAACAAACAGTTTCAAAAACTCCAACTATCACCCTGTGTCAGAATCGGTGACTATGAAGTACCGATGTCAGCCAGTGCCAGAAACCTAGGGGTACCATTCCAGAGCAACATGTCCATGGAACAGCATGTTAACCAACTCTCAAAGGCCTGTTTCTTCCAAATTCGCAGCATCAGCATGGTACGATACCTCCTGGACACAGCCACAACTAAACTCATGATGCAAACCCTCGTCAAGTCACGTCTTGACTACTCCAACGCTCTCTGTTTCAACATCTCAGCCTCACTCATGTCAAAACTACAGAGAGTTCAAAATGAAACAGCACGACTTATCTCAAGAACGAAACCATCTGACCATATCTCCCCAGTTCTCAAACCTCTCCACTGGCTTCCCATCAAACAACGCATCAGCTTCAAGATTCTCCTCCTCACCCATTACTGCATCTTTGATGACAATTCCCGTTCTTATCTCAAGGACCTTGTCACTCTCCACAAACCCAGGCAATGTCTTCGCTCTAGCGACCAGTTCCGTCTCTCCACACCACTCAGCAAAAACAGGAATGGGTGATAGAGCGTACTCCATCGCAGCTCCCCATCTTTGGAAGTCTTCCACTATCACTCAGGATGCCTCTAACCACAACAAAGTTCATATCTGATCTGAAAACTCATCTCTTTCTGCAAGCCTTTCAATAACTCTCACACATGTACAGCGCTACTGAATACCTTCAAGATGGGTTTTCGGCGCTATATAAATTAATTATTATTATTATTAGTCCTTAACCAAATCTGCCTAGAGTCGATCATTTGTGGAGAAGCTTTCTGAGAAACCATTGGATCGTGTATACATGCAGTGTGTGGAACAGGAGAGTAATCCCGCGGACAGGATGAAGTCGGCTGGTCGTAAATGTGAAATTAAAGGTTTTCTGTTTGCTTCCAAATACCAGTCACTTCACACTCTCAATCGCCAAAATGTGATTCTTGAAGAAAATATCAATATGAAATGTATTTACAGAGACTGTCCAACACCTTGTCAGTGGATGCCCTTCCTTTGCACAAACAGCATATCTTAAACGACATGATGGCATGACTCGTGGCTTCTACTACCGTCTTCGCCATGCTTGTGGCTTTGACTCCGAGGTCCATCCATGGTACGACCCTGAACATGTCCAGGGCGTCATGAAAAACCTTTTTGGAATAGGCCCATATACAGCTTCAGAAGAATTCCTGCCAACAAACCTGATCTTGTCCATTTTTGATAGGGACAATGAATTTATATATATTTCTGCCCCTTTTGACATCAATGTGATTGGCAATATTCAGGAAAAGCATGCTTAATATGCGGACCTCGCCTTTGAAATGTCTCTTTTGCATCCCAAGTACACTGTCGTCAGGCTCCCCATTGTTCTCGGTTCCATTTGGTTTGGTACCTCCTGATCACTTGGCGTAGATCAGGAGAGTGCCCGGATACTCCACCGGGAGTACAACCCTTCTGACACTCTGGGTAATGCAGTCCGCGAGGCCTAAAATTCACACCTAATAAATCCCACAAGGCCTAATTACAGTTTGCCCACATGACATAATCAATGAGGTAATTGGGGCGTGAAACAAGAGTGGGAGAGGCCACTGATCAGTGGACGGGGGTCACTGTTAGGGTTAGTTTAGTAATGAGACTTGTCTACTGTGAAAACATTAAGGTTGGATAGATGAAAGCACTTACTGTTAATCTTAAGAAGATTAGATCTATTATTACTGGAGGAGTATTTACATCAAGTGGATATTATTCATTTTCCTTCTCCAACTAACATGAGAAGGAAGAAACTTGCTATAAGTATGTATGTTTGTAGCTATATCCATATCTACATAGCTATGGCGAATGCACAAGTTAATGTCACATACCTTCCCAATGCTCGTGACGGCAGATTTGCATACTATGCAGGACATAAGTTTAAAGTCAACCGACATGTACTGGACATGTACAGTGCCACGTTGTAAAGGATCCATTCACACACAAGATGATCGCCTACTGAAGATTGGATCAGGACACAACCATGAAGCACCACCCTACATCTTCAACATGGACGACTTCAAGAGAACACTCCTGAACCGGGCAAGAACTGAGACGACCCCCATCCCAACCATTTTTGACGATGAAGTTACTGCATTAAGAAAGATTCCTGACGTCTTCCTTTGGATGGATTCCAGCACATTTCAGTCCTTCCTTCCGTCAAGACAGCTATGTATAGAGAGAGGCAGAAGACTCGTCCCAATGTACAAGGAAGACCCTGACTTCCATCTGCCAGCAGCTCGTGCCAAGACTCTTCCTCTTGTTCCAGTTGAGGAAGTTGAGAATGTGTGGGTAGATGCAATCACCGATAGTCCCCAAGGAGAAGGAGTAACTCGGTTCATGGACTATGTGATAACAACTGGGGTGGAGGGTACGTCATGGACAAAGAAGAATGGAACCACTTCACCAATGATGGACATCAAACAAACAACCACGTAGAAGGATGGCATAACAGGCTCCACTCGTTATTCAAGTGTCACCCGAACATATTTGACTTTGTGAAGCTGATCAAGCGTGAGCAGTCCAGGACCGAAGTGAGACTGACACAGCAGAGAGGTCACCACGTGAACCAGCAAGGAGACGTCGCTATGTAGCAGTTGACCAGGGCTTGCTGCGATCCAAGACCAGGCTACTCACTGGCACCATCACTGTCCTGGAGTACACAGACTCAGTATCCCACTTACTTGGTGTTTGGGAACAGTGAATAACAATAAACATAAACAATATCACTTTGTCACCTGTGATAATATGCTAAATGATACAGATTTTGTTGTGATAACATAATACATGATAATATGTTGTTATGATTCCTGTGGTCAATCCACCCTTATCGAATAAAACCAGTGATACAGATGTGATAAATCACTGTTAAAATAAATATTTCACAATCATATTTGATTTTTATTGTTTCTTATGATTCACCCCTTCTGTGGCCATTAATGGACCAGTCCAGCAATAATCCACCGTAATCCCAGTAAACCAGTGAGTCATAAAGTCCCACATAGCCTAATGAACTGTACCTACCTATCTGAATAATTTTAGGCCTCGTGGGACGACACCACGGTTGCAGTGTTGGGGAGTCTACATATTCTCCTGAAAGTTCTTGGTGGTATCGACTGGGCACTGTTTCCTGGGTGATGCCCCCTCCGGCTGTATGTAGAGGGCCCTGAGTTGATGATGAGCCTTACCAGCCTGACTGTGCCAGGAGCACCCGAACCATCTCTGCTGCATACTATTTTTAATTTTTAAAACATAATAATAATTATTTTTGGCCACTTATATAGCTCTGAACTCCACGCCGCTAGGACATGCTATAAGCGCATACAACATGAAGGTCAGTATTACCCTTGATAACCCAAGCTGCCTCTGAGGCGCTAATGCGTTAATAGTCATATGACTTATCCTACCGGGGACCCATTTTCTGCTGGGTAAACATAGGTAATTTTGAACAAACTCACTTGCCTAACACAGGGATAGATTTGTGTTCTAGGACAAAGGGGTAGATTGGTGTTCTAGAACAGAAGGGTAGAGGGGTGTTTTACAACACACGGTAGAGGGGTGTTCTATAACAGAGGGATTGTTGTACAACATTTGGGTAATATGAGTATAACTCGGGGGTAATGGGGTGTTCTTTCACACACGGGTAGAGAGGCGTTCTTTAACATATTGGTAATGAGGTGTTCTATAACTCAGGTAGAGGTTCGTTCTATAATTCAGGGCTAGAAGGGCGTTTTATAACACAGGGATAGATTGGTGTTCTGTAACACACGGGGAGAGGTGTGTTCTATAACACAATGGTACAGAGGGGAGTTCTATAGCACGGGGGTAGAAGAGTGTTTAATGACACAAGGATATAAAATGTTCGATGTCTGCCAGTTCAATGCAAGCCACGAACCAGCATCCCAAGTAAGTGACAGAATTAATGTCAGAAGCACTACTGAAAAAGACCCATATCGCCATGCCATAGTGACACAGAAAGCCATGTTAGGAGGGTCCACGTCTGTCAGTTCATTGCAAGCGACAAATCAGCAGTCCCGATAATTTACTGCTCATCTTATCGGCTGTGGATGAAACAGATCTTTCGTCATTTTTGTCGGCATTTAAATAATGCAGCGAGATCATTTTATTTGTAGCCAGGAAGATGTCAACGACGAGCATTAAAATCCATTTTAGGTAGCTCTGTGCAGTGTCCGAGGTTTGTGATGTTTCAACAGCCAGCCTTAATTACCCAATGTCCTTCCTTAGCTGACAACCCAAGTGTCCCAAGAGGCAACGTCACTGTATATCAGTGGAACGAGGTTTTTACATGAAGATATCTGGAACTTGTCAAGGATCGACTTGAGAAACATAAATTACAGGTAGGTCCTGAAAACAACGTTGCAGATGCTGGTAATGAGGAGGTCTGTGGGTGAGGTGGTAGGTGGGGTAATGAGGAGGTCTGTGGACGAGGTGGTTGGTGGGGTAATGAGGGGTCTGTGGGCGAGGTGGTAGGTGGGGTAATGAGGGGTATGTGGGAGAGGTGGTAGGTGGGGTAATGAGGAGGGATGTGGACGGGGTGGTAGGTGGGGGGTAATGAGGAGGGCTGCTGGCTTGAGGTGGTAGGTGGGGGTAATGAGGTGGGGGTGGGAATGAGGTCTGTAGGCGAGGTGGTAGGTGTGGGGTAATGAGGAGGGCTGTAAGGCGAGGTGGTAGGTGGGGGTAATGAGGAGGCTCTGTGGGAGAGGTGGTAGGTGGGGTAATGGGGGAGGGCTGTGGGTGAGAGGTGGTAGGTGGTAATGGTAATGAGAGGGTATGTGGGTGAGGTGGTAGGTGGGGTAATGAGAGGCTCTGTGGGTGAGGTGGTAGGTGGGGTTATGAGGGAGGCTGTGGGGGAGAGGTGGTAGGTGTGGGTAATGAGAGGTCTGTTGGGTGAGGTGGTAGGTGGGGGTAATGAGTGGGTGTGTGGGATAGGTGGCAGGTGGGGTGTGGGGCTCTGTAGGCGAGGTGGTAGGTGGGAATGGGTGGGGAGGTGGAAGGAGGGGTTTGTGAGGTGTAGGTGGTGTGGGAATGGGAGCTGTGGGCAGGGTGGTAGGTGTGAGGAGGAGGTCTGTGGGCAGGTGGTGGGTGGGGTAATAAGGAGGTCTGTGGGGGAGGTGGTAGGTGGTGGGGGTAATAAGGGAAGATGGAGACTCAGTGGCGAGAAGTGGTATGGGAGTAGTGTGGGAGATCTGTGGGAGAGGTGGTAATGTGGGGTCTGTGGGGAGAGGTGGTGTGATGATAGGGCTCTGTGGAGGTGGTATGTGGGTAATGAGGGTGGGGTCTGTGGGGAGAGGTGGTAGGTGTGGTAATGAAGGGGTCTGTGGGGAGGTGGAATTATGGGGTAATGAGAGGGTCTGTGGGCAGAGGTGGTAGGTTGGGGTAATGAGGGTCTGTGGGCGAGGTGGTAGGGTGGGGTAATGAGAGGTCTGTAGGTGCAGGAGGTGGTAGGTGGGGTAATAGAGGAGGTCTGTGGGCAGGTGGTAGGTGTGGTAATAAAGGGAGGGCTGTGGGTGAGGTGGTAGGTGGGGTAATGAGGGTCTGTGGGTGAGGTGGTAGGTTGGGGTAATGATAGGGAGGGCTGTGGGTGAGGTGGTAGGTGGGGTAATGAGGGGAGCTCTGATGTAGGTGAGGTGGTAGGTGGGGTAATGAGGAGGTCTGTGGGTGAGGTGGTAGGTGGGGTGGATATGTGGAGGATAAAGTGGCAGGTGGGGTGGTAGGCTCTGTGGGCGAGGTGGTAAAGTGGGGTAATGAGGCACAGTGGGTGAGGGTGGAGGCTGTGGGAGGTGGTGGTAAGGTGGGGAATGAGAAGGGTCTAATAGTGGGCGAGGTGGTAGGTTGGGTAATGGGGTGGGCTCGTGGGCGAGGTGGTAGGTGGGGTAATGGGGAGGTCTGTGGGCGAGGTGGTAGGTGGGAGTAACGAGGGGTCTGTGGGGAGGTGGTAGGAGGGGTGTGAGGGTCTGTGGAGAGGAGGTGATGTGGAGTCAATGAAGGTAATAAGGGAGGTGAAGTGTAATAGGGTCTGTTGGAGAGATGGTAGGTGTGGTAATGTAAAGGAGGAGGAGTCTGTGGGAGAAGGTGGTAATTGTAGGGTATGTTGGAGAGATGGTAGGTGTGGTAATAAAGGAAGGGTGAGAGGTGGTAGGTGGGAGAGTAATGAAGAGGAGGTCTGTGGAGCGAGGTGGTAGGTGGGAAGTAATGTGGGTAAGGGGAGGTCTGTGGGCGAGGTGGTAGGTGGGGTAATGAGGGCGAGGTCTGTGGTGGTAATGAGGGAGGTGGTGGGTGAGGTAGTGGGGAGGGAGGAGAGGAGTCTGTGTGCGAGGTGGTAGGGTGGGAATAAAGAGGAGGTCTGTGTGAGAGGTGGTAGGTGGGTAATGAGGGAGGGTCTGTGGGCGAGGTGGTAGGTGTGGTAATGAGGGTCTGTGGGAGAGGTGGTAGGTTAGGGGGGAAATGAGGAGGTCTGTGGGCGAGGTGGTAGGTGGGGAATGAGGGAGGTCTGTGGGCGAGGGTGGTAGGTGGGGTAATGAGGGAGGTCTGTGGGAGAGGTGGTAGGTAGGTAATGAGGGAGGTCTGTGGGCGAGGTGGTAGGTGGTGGTAATAGGGAGGTCTGTGGGAGAAGGTGGTAGGTGTGGTAATGAGGAGGTCTGTGGGAAGAGGTGGTAGGTGGGGTAATGAGGGGGCTCTGTGAAAGGTAGTAGGTTGGGTAATGAGGAGGGCTGTGGGCGAGGTGGTAGGTGTAGTAATGAGGGGTCTGTGGTAGAGGTGGTAGTTGGGGTAATGAGGAGGTATGTGGGAGAGGTGGTAGGTGGGGTAATGAGGAGGTCTGTGGGAGAAGTGGTAGGTGGGGTAATGAGGAGGTCTGTGGGCGAGGTGGTAGGTGGGGTAATGAGGAGGTCAGTGGGCGAGGTGGTAGGTGGGGTAATGAGGAGGTCTGTGGGCGAGGTGGTAGGTGGGGTAATGAGGAGGTCTGTGTGAAAGGTGGTAGGTTGGGTAATGAGGAGGGCTGTGGGCGAGGTGGTAGGTGTGGTAATGAGGGGTCTGTGGGAGAGGTGGTAGTTGGGGTAATGAGGAGGTCTGTGGGAGAGGTGGTGGTAGGTGGGGTAATGGAGGTCTGTGGGAGGTGGTAGGTGGGTAATGAGAGGAGGTCTGTGGGCGAGGTGGTAGGTGGGAGTAATGAGGAGGGCTGTGGGCGAGGTGGTAGGTGGTAATGAGGTGTGGTGGTAGAGGGAGTAATGAGGAGCTGTGGGCGAGGTGGTAGGTGGGGTAATGAGGAGGTCTGTGGGAGAGGTGGTAGGTAGGGGTAATGAGGAGGGCTGTGTGAGAAGGTGGTAGGTGGGGTAATGAGGAGGTCTGTGGGAGAGGTTGTAGGTGGGTAAATGAGGGGGTCTGTGGGAGAGGTGGTAGGTGGGGTAATGAGGAGGTCTGTGGGAGAGGTGTTAGGTGGGGGGGTAATGAGGGGGTCTGTGGGCGAGGTGGTAGGTGAATGTAAGGAGGTTAGGTCTGTGGGCGAGGTGGTAGGTGGGGTAATGAGGAGGTCTGTGGGCGAGGTGGTAGGTGGGGTAATGAGGAGGGTCTGTGGGCGAGGTGGTAGGTGGGGTAATGAGGGAGTCTGTGGGAGAGGTGGTAGGTGGGGTAAGGAGGGGGTCTGTGGGCGAGGTGGTAGGTGGGGTAATGAGGAGGTCTGTGGGAGAGGTGGTAGGTGGGGTAATGAGGGGGTCTGTGGGAGAGGTGGTAGGTGGGGGTAATGAGGAGGGCTGTGGGCGAGGTGGTACTAGGAGTAATTGGGTGAACTTACAGGAGAGCTCGTGGATTACTGGGTGGTTTGATTTGTTGGACTGGCTGGTATGTAAAATACATAGCATGATTACATATTCTCTTTAGTCTGTTTTCTTTGAATGTTCAATGTTTCGCACGTTATGTACAGGAAGCAATATTGATGAAATTGTAACAACACTATGGAGAAAATGGAGTCAATTTACGAACATAACCACGTCCCTAGTTTAACTCATCATTTAACAGATCTGTTGAGTAGGCCAGTGCACTATGTGTAAACAAGAAGTTCTGATTGCCTCTTGCGAGGCGTTTCGAATGGATGTACGGTAAATAAAGAAATGTTACCAAACACAACATGGCATGTTCTAAAACACAATAATGTTTTAAATTCAAAACACAACAACTACATTTTGAAAGCTCAAAAAGTGCTGGTATTGTCTTGTTGGAACAATTTGCGTCCTGTTGCAGAAAGGAGTGTTCAATAGGAACAAAATATTTGTTCGATATTGCGTCTGATTGACACCGTAAACCACCAGATTTGTATTTAGGCCAGCACGGAATCCAACTAACGGGATCAGGTGGTCAGGCTCGCTGACTTGGTTGACACATGTCATCGTATCCCGATTGCGTAGATCGATGCTCACGATGTTGATCACTGGATTGTCTGGTCCAGACTCGATTTGTTTACAGACCGCCGCCATATACACTAAACACCAAAAGAAACGTTACCCTAGTACCTTTATGAATTACCTAAAAACTATCAAAGAGGTGTTAGAAGGTATTAGTTTACAATAAAGTTGAACAACACAGCTGTATGTACATCACGAAAAAATATTCTCAAATGCATTCATATTTAGGTGAAATGCATCTTTTTCAAAAAGGGTTAAATTGTTCTATTTTCGACCATGCCGAAACAAACCAATAACAGTGCTTTAGATGTCCAAAAGAAAGGTTGAAATAAATTTCTGCTGGGAGACAAAGATAAAACATTACAGTCACCATTTTTCAACTATTAAAACAAGAAAGAACCGTTGTAGAGTGTGTAAAATTGTTAAAGGGTCATTCCTATGTTTGCAGTCTTTTAAAACATTTTCTGCTGATTTGCATTAGTGAAAATAAGTAAAATGTGTCTTTGATAAAAAAGTGTTTAGGAACATCTAAAATGATCTTTGTTAACATTTTTGCTTGCAAAGTAACATTTTTTCCATTTTCTGTTTACACATAGCAATATCAATCGCCAAAACGTAGCAATATTCAAGCAGTATTTGCATCAATTTCACGTCTAGAATGATTCTATAGGGTATACAGAGAGACTAGGATATGATATGATACACAAGTACGAGAAATATGCCACGATTAACAGCTGAAGAGAGAGAAAGAGCCATTGGGATGGTGCAGGTGGGGTCGACATGGAATCCTGTTGCCAACGCCCTCGGATGCCACCGTATCACGGTTATAAGACTCATTCAGAGCTACAGACAGACTGAGGTCACCATGGACAGACCAAGAAGTGGACGTCCACGCATCACAACGCCAGCTGAAATCGGTACATCCGTCATTAAGGAAGGAGGGTAACGTTTCTTTTGGCGTTTAGTGTAGCTGGAGTGTGACGTTGAATAACCAACCAACCAACTCCACCCTACAGCTCGGCACCAACTCCACCCTACAGCTCGGCGGCGGCCTGAACTCAGATGCCTGTGTCCTGTTCCCCTCGCGGACCGTGTGATTCCTACAACAATCGGGAAAAGTTGGAACCGATTCTCATCAGAAATGAGAACTCACAACGAGCTGATGACGTAGTGGCTAACGTTCTAACGGTCTGAACCGTTCCCCTTGCGTACCATCTACCAACCGGCGCCCTGCACACTGTCGAGATGACCGGGCGACCAAGGGTCCCTGCAGCCCAGAGGCCCGCCCTGGTCTGCTAGAAACCTATGTTGTTTGTGATGTGCGGATAGACCAAGGTTTTCTCCCTGTCTATAACCTCCATTTGTATCACACCTTTTTCTCTGCTAGGTTGCGTGAGTGAGTATGGAATTATGGCGTTTTTAGCAATATCATTCCCAGCAACACCAGAAATCGGCCTCAAACATTGTGGGCCGTCGACCCTGGGTGTTCGGTGTGACGAGTTATCGCTTTAACCACAAGGCTACCCCACCGACCCTTTCCTAGGGTGTTAATGATGACGTGATTGCTGTTTTCTTACGAATTCCATTGATGATGTCGATTATACAATGCATTTGTACCGTATCAAATACTAACTGGATTGTTTTGTTTGTATGTTTACTAACGCGGCACATCGCAATATTCTCACTATATGACGGCGGATTGTAAACAATCAAGTCTGGACCAGACAAGCACGTGATTGACCTCATGAGTATCGATGTACTTAACTCAACCAGGTCAGAGATCCTGACCGCTCGAGCTTACTTGCTGATTCTTACGACAAGGATGGGTTTCAGAAGATCAGATGTAACATTTGAATCATGCCAAACTCTAATTACGTATCTTGCAGGGTCTCATTGAAAGTTTGGACAATCCAAATTTGGTCAGTTGCCCGTCCGTTCAGATATCTTGGTACAACTTAAGATGGTTTCTCCTTTGTTGAGCGTTATATGGATAGCAGAATCAAATTTGTTGTCCGGGATGTCCTGCCTGCCGGTCGGTTTTCATCCTGACCACATGCATCGTATGTCGTTGCTACAGAACGGCAGCCATCATGTATTGTCATGGTGAAATTGTACGCTTGGTTTCAGGTAGCATTATCGATAACATGTTAGTATCCTGATTGATTCTCATCAAAGTGATGGAAATCACGTATGTGCGTATCACGCTGTAGTCCAGTGTAGGATTAATCCCTGGCAACCCCAGTTCGCCGTGTTTAACGAGAAAACGATACAGATCCGGTGGTCAGGTTTGGTGACTTGGCTTAGTGTATGTGATCGTCAGTCGACAGCGTTGATTGTTGATAAAATATCTAAATAATATCTCGCCCAATTTTGATCATTTACAAGCACCACATAAAGTTGGAATATTGTTGAGCGTGGTGTTAAACAACCAACAAACATCGAATGTTTATCGCGCATTATCAACAACACGTGCTTAAAGAATCCAAGTCACTCTGACATTCATAGGTCACAGCGACCTTTGACTCCATCGATATGTTTTGGATCAAATGTCAGTCATTGGCACTTAAGTGTTGAAGCAAACGCCGTTGTGAGGAAACATTCATTACTGTCAACAGTTTCTCAGCCAATATCTATATGTTCTTGACGCCCGATGAATAAGAACCATTACATTGGCGTCAAGCCTGTAGTTTTCTTTCAACTATTAATAGAAAAGAAGTAACACACTCTAGTTTCTGTGGGAAGAAACTCTTTTCATATTAATAGTCAGGAAGATAAAGAAAACAGAAACGTTTCCCCGAATCTTGTCTAGCGCTCACCAGCACTCAGGTTTTCATATTGTATTTTATTGACACAACTCTACTTAGGAGCCACCTGCTGTGATCCGCTCTGTTGTGACGGAATTCCCTCTCTCATAGATTGGGAAGATGGATTTCTTCGCTCACCCTTCGTCCCTCCTCGCTCTCCCCTCGCTCTCTCCTCCTCCGACTGTCCAACCCTTTCCACTGTAGCTCAGACATGTTCAATATCGTATTTAAACTTGTCTTTTGTGGAGAATCTTATCATCAACTTTCCCGCTTTGATCCCGTTGGCTGAACGAGCGTCATCATTGCCCTAGCCGGGATCCATGTGGAAGCCAGTCTCCGTTTGGTTCCCAGCTTCCTCGGAGGAGGAAACCTCCCAGTATTAATCTCGTCACAGTCTTATATGCTGCCCAGTATTTACATGGGATTTGGGTCTCAGACACACGTAAGCCATATTGTCAGGCGATCTGAAAACGACAAAAAATAACAACCAAATAATATCTGCGCAAACGGAATTGATATTAGGATCTGATATTAATGTCAGAGTGTAAAAGTTGGATAACCGTCATTGATTGATATAGCTGGGTTGAAGAGACAAATCTATCTTCTTGGTGGCTGGAATTTGTTTGGAGCCGAAGAGCTGTTATATTTTAAATGTTAGAATATCCAATATGCTTAGTGTCAGTAAAATGTCTGTGTATATGAGGTGCTACGGCGGTTCTCAGAACGCGTATCTGATGTGTTTGATCAAGTATTGGCCAATGTGTTTAAGTTGGAGCTCTGGTCAGGTGTTGCTGTGTGTATTAAAACAGAGCTCTTACCAGGTATTGTCGTGTGTATTATGACAGAGCTCTGGCCAGGTATTGTCGTGTGTATTATGACAAATCTCTGGCCAGGTATTGTCGTGTGTATTATGATAGAGCTCTGGCCAGGTATTGTCGTGTGTATTATGACAAATCTCTGGCCAGGTATTGTCGTGTAGTATTATGATAGAGCTCTGACCAGGTATTGTCGTGTGTATTATGATAGAGCTCTGGCCAGGTATTGTCGTGTGTATTATGATGAGCTCTGGCCAGGTATTGTCGTGTGTATTATGATAGAGCTCTGACCAGGTATTGTCGTGTGTATTATGATAGAGCTCTGGCCAGGTATTGTCGTGTGTATTATGATAGAGCTCTGACCAGGTATTGAACATTGTGTGTGTTATGACAAATCTCTGACCAGGTATTGTCGTGTGTATTATGACAAATCTCTTGCCAGGTATTGTCGTGTGTATTATGATAGAGCTCTGGCCAGGTATTGTCGTGTGTATTATGACAGAGCTCTGGTCGAGGTATTGTCGTGTGTATTATGATAGAGCTCTGGCCAGGTATTGTCGTGTGTATTATGATAGAGCTCTGGCCAGGTATTGTCGTGTGTATTATGATAGAGCTCTGACCAGGTATTGAACATTGTGTGTGTTATGATGGAGCTCTGGCCAGGTATTGTCGTGTGTATTCTGATAGAGCTCTGGCCAGGTATTGTCGTGTGTATTATGATAGAGCTCTGGCCAGGTATTGTCGTGTGTATTATGATAGAGCTCTGACCAGGTATTGTCGTGTGTATTATGATAGAGCTCTGACCAGGTATTGTCGTGTGTATTATGATAGAGCTCTGGACCAGGTATTGTCGTGTGTATTCTGATAGAGCTCTGGACAGGTATTGTCGTGTGTATTATGATAGAGCTCTGGCCAGGTATTGTTGTGTGTATTATGATAGAGCTCTGGCCAGGTATTGTCGTGTGTATTATGATAGAGCTCTGGCCAGGTATTGTCGTGTGTATTATGATAGAGCTCTGACCAGGTATTGTCGTGCGTATTATGATAGAGCTCTGACCAGGTATTGAACATTGTGTGTGTTATGACAAATCTCTTGCCAGGTATTGTCGTGTGTATTATGATAGAGCTCTGGCCAAGTATTGTCGTGTGTATTATGATAGAGCTCTGGTCAGGTATTGTCGTGTCGTATTGTGATAGAGCTCTGGCCAGGTATTGTCGTGCGTATTATGATAGAGCTCTGACCAGGTATTGAACATTGTGTGTGTTATGACAAATCTCTTGCCAGGTATTGTCGTGTGTATTATGATAGAGCTCTGACCAGGTATTGAACATTGTGTGTGTTATGACAAATCTCTGGCCAGGTATTGTCTTGTGTATTCTGATAGAGCTCTGGCCAAGTATTGTCGTGTGTATTCTGATAGAGCTCTGGCCAGGTATTGTCGTGTGTATTATGATAGAGCTCTGACCAGGTATTGAACATTGTGTGTGTTATGACAAATCTCTGGCCAGGTATTGTCGTGTGTATTATGAAATAATCAGGCCTTCAGATCTGATCTCTGACCCGCTTTTCCCACCAAGAAAGCATGACTCCGATCAAGCAGATTATACATTTGCTGGATCTTGCAGATTCAGAAATATCGATATCAGTATTCTTTGTTATCCTTTATGCCTCCCAGAATATATCTCCAAATAGTTTGACCTGCACTGACGTGTGTGTATGTCTGTACCTGATCCCACGTGGCAGCGTGGTATATTTTCGGAACAACAAGCGACCTGTCAAAGTCACTGATTGTAATGTGGAGGAATTACTTAAGAACACAAAAGCGGAAACTTGATTTGATTTTATTCAATCAACATAACTGTATCTCACAATCTATTTGGTTAATCTGTTCAAACATCCTGACATGCTAGCAGTCGTGCGTTTGCTGCCTCCCAACTCGTGTTTCCAGTGACTGCCTTGAGCCGACTCAGTGCTTGCACCATAATCAATGACTGGCTTGTGTTTACATAGCGCTGAATTATCCCGCGGATTCCTCTAACTCGGCAATCTCATTTTAAAATGTTTCCCAACTGGTGGGAAGACCCGCCAATGCGTGTATAACTGAGTTGAGTCTGTCGCTGCATTAGACGTGTAAACACTGTGTACAATGCTAACGCTCTAACCTCAAAAACTGTTTAAAATAGCCATACTTTCATTTCATCCATACAGCTGACGTCACCAGGTTATCTCAAAGTTTCTGTTTACAATGGACACTTTCTAAACCGGCATAGTTCGATATTCTGAACATACCCAAATTGTCTGAGAAGAGTGTCGGTCTATCTTAACAAATATCTGCTTAGTCCGACATTCTCTCCAAACCAACAACTGTGGTAAAGAAATCTGACATTGTCTCTAAGCCAACTCTTAAGAAGTTCGGACATTGTTTTTCAAACAAAATGTGAGCTCCTAAACCAAAACATGTCCATGTATCCGTCACCATTGGCGTCCGCTGTATCCCACATCAAACTCCTGGTAATGGCTAATGCTTACTGAGGAATGAACGAACGTGCTCCCGACAAGCTATAATGGTCAGAACAATGTGTCCTTGACAATCCGTTTGGTTAGTTGTTCTCATGGGGATAAAGATGAAGACGTTGGTCATAAAAATAATATATTACATATTTCCTCCCAGCCGACAAGCATTTATGTTGTGTCGAATTTTGTAAAAAATATTAGAACCCTCGATTAAACATCGTTCCATTTAATCACAAAATGATGTAACATCATAACATAAGTCCTAAAAGATACATTCGGAATGAAAACGCAGAAAAAACCCTCCAGAATTACAGTTAATGTCCGATACACCGCGTCAAGATCCACCATCACTCGTTGGACTGGGCAGTGCAGAGGTCAGAGACTTAAGAGTCAGTTTTTAAGGAGAAAATCTCTCTTCTAAAACGTTTCACTTCAGTCATTATGGTTTGCCCCTCAATTTAATGATGCTTCACTGTCTGTTGTTCCCTTTCTTCTGTTTCAGAGATGCTTTGATATGAATTTAGCCACTGTTTCCAGCTCAATTCCATTGCTTATATCACTTTTATACATTAAGAATATTGGCGTCTAGTTGTCCGTCAGCCCACAACCTTTGCAGGTTGCCTCAACGTGTCTCTGAGGTGTCCTCGGAAAGTCTCTTGGTCAGCAAACTTTCAGAATGTCCATTACTGACCCGTTGAACATGTCAACACGTTCTGGAGCCAAAACAACATCGTTGGTGATTGCTGTATGCCGGACAGATTGCATTTCGTCACATATCTTATTTAGTTGTTATCTGTGGAGAGTAGTGTCTCTTTGTCGAGCAGGATCCGCTGATCGTGAGTTCATAAGTTTCATATCACCAACATAAAATCCTTGATGCCTGTCGAAGAATTCACTAAGGTTAACGTTATAAACGTTTGTCTCGATATCTCTTTTCCTTCCGCCTACTTAGCTGTGACAATACTGAAATACAGTGAGAAGCGGCTAGTCACTCACTCACTCACTCTGTCTGAATGTAGCGGAGTCGTCCCACTAGAGTAATCCCAGTCTGGGAGTGGAGAACATTACATCGATGGAAGACTTTTTAAAAGCTGCGCGCATTGAAGTCGATTCCAGAGGGATCTTCTTGTTCCAATACTATTTTTTCCCTTCTTCTCAGCGCGGTCCCCGAGCCCAAGTTTCCACATATTACTGATATCATTACAGCTAATCGAAGGCGAACGGGACATGAAAAAACCCGAACATTTGAAAACACGTCTTTTTGTTTTGTTACAGGATCTGAGACGATTTGATATTCTTTGGTGGCCTTATCAAGCGTTTGCATACACAGCCACTTCATATACCGCCATTGATCTCCCCAGGAGTAGCATACGGGAGCCCTCGGGAGTTGCTGAAGACAGCCTCGTTATAATAGGAGTCAGCATCGACAGGGCCGTCGTAGTGGCAACGGTGTCGGACGTCACAGGACTGAAACGCGTAAGTGTCCTCGACAGTCAGCCCAACACCTTGGGGCTTCTTCGTATTGATTTAATCTTCTTCATGTCGAAATACATCGAATCAAACACTAATGGAAAACCATGCGCCCAGTACACACGGTTGTTGCCTGTATGTGTCTCTGCAACACAGGTTAATGTTATTGTAGTGTAATGGTAGGTTAGGGAGGTCCACAGCCATCTGAATGTTTACTATATCTCCTGGTAATTCCGTAACGAATGTTGCTTCAGTATGTTGTACAGTCACGGTGCAACTAGTTTGTTAATTTGGTAATCCCCGTAAGCTGCGGAGTCCCCGGAAGGCTGAGGACGTTGGGTTCTGTTTCCATCGTAAGTACACAAGTTCAGGGAGGGTGGACTCCACACAATGGCATCGTGTTCAGAATCCAA